TGTGTGTATACACACACTGGTGAGCTCGGGTTTGAGCTAAACTCAGGTGCCTTTAACAGACTGTAATGCTGCACTGACTTTATAAAGGGGCATTTGTGTGTGTGTGTGTGTGTTATACACATGTATACAGAGTTTTTAATCAGTGACGGTGACACCAACATGTTGCTCTGTTCTCAGATGAATGCAGTGAGAGGACGCAGGTCTTATACCCATGAACCGAAAGGTTTCAGGGGGATTTCTCTCTTTTCTTTTCTTTTTCTCAGAGAGGGCGGAGCAACATCTCACAAGCTTTAAGTGGGCCTAATGAAGGAGTTGGGAGGGGGAGTGTAAGGAGATGAGTGTATGTATCCTTGACCTTTTTTTTTTGTGTGTGTGTGTTTGGTTCGCATCATTGCTCAGATTTGGTTTTTCAGATCTGTGCTGTCATCTGCCAACACATCTCCCTGGTTACTCAGACATATGTATCCGTCCCATCCACCTCCACCCGTCCTCCTCCCACCAATACATTGGACCTGAAGAAAAGGTGATCAGGAGGCTCCAGAAGCTTGTGATGTTAAAGAAACCGGGGTTATATGTTTGGTTGAAGCGTTTGGAAATGTACTCCGAGTGGCTACCTCGTGCTGTATCAGAAAGCATTAATTAAAACGAAAAAATAAAACGTCATTAATTTATTTCTCACTTATTTGTGACAATGATTTTAGACACTTTAAGAACATCCAGGAGAAGTCAAAGGTGTGTGTGTGTGTGTGTGTGTGTGTGTGTGTGTGGGGAGAGAAAGGAAGCTGTGTATATATATATAAATATGTGTGTGTGTGTGTGTGTATATATATACACACACACACACATATATGTATATATATGTGTGTATATATATGTGTGTGTATATATATATATATATGTGTGTGTGTGTATATATATATGTGTGTGTGTATATATATATATATATGTGTGTGTGTGTATATATATATATATATGTGTGTGTGTGTGTATATATATATATATGTGTGTGTGTGTGTGTGTATGTATGCATGTATATATATATATATAGATATATATATATACATGCATACACACACACACACACGTGTGTGTGTGTATACAAGAATAAAGTCACAATATTATAAATTCGAAACAAAGTTTTCCACCTGCTGACTCAAATATGGGATATCGAGTTATCCTGCCGGAAGAAGCCATCTGAAAATGGTACACTGTGTTTATAAAGGGATGGAGATGGTCAGCAACGATACTCAGGTAGGCTGTGGTTTGTAAATGATGCTACCAACAGCAGCTTTTATAATTTTTAACTGTACCATCTGAGTGTTGCAGCAGAAATCGATACTCATCAGACCAGGCAATGTTTTTCTAATCTTCTGGCCAGTTTTGGTGAGTTTGGTGAGGTGTGGTCTTCTCTTGCTGTAGCCCATCTATTCTGTTGTATCATCTGAGATGCTCTTCTGCATACCTTGGTTATAATAAGTGGTTATTTGAGTTACTGTTGCCTTCCTACCAGCTTAATGCAGTCTGCCCATTCTCTATTTTCTCTCAGAGGACTGCTGCTCACTGGGTGTTTCCTCTTTTTCTGACAATTCTTTATAAACTCTAGAGATGGTTGTGTGGGAAAATCCCAGCACATAAGCAGTTTCTGAAATACTCAGACCACCAACAACCATGCCAAAAGTCACTTAAATCACCATTCTCCACCATTCTGATGCTCAATTTAAACTTCAGCAGATCATATTGACCATGTCTACATATCTAAAAGCACCATGTTGAACCTAGTAAAGTGTCTGCTGTGTAATTTTATTCTTAGAAAACTTTCTTTTTTTTTTCATCCTCTTTCTGGTCTTCTGCTGTGGTTGTGAACATCAACAATTCATGACTTTGATCACTTTAAGTTAAAAACAAGTCTTTGTTCACAAAAAACAGCTGTTTCAGTGCCACATGCTTACACAGACCATGTTTTTTCTCTTTCTGCATGGACAATATAAAAATTTAGGTGAATTATTTTGTTATGCTGGCTATCAGGAGACCTTTGTTATGTTTTTCTTGAAATAAATATCCTGAAATAAACTCACATCGAAACAGACAGACTCCTGATTACTCTGTGAATTTAACACTTGCTTTACATTGGAAAATCAGACAGAAATTAAAAAGATTTTGCTCATAAAATAACTATTATGGTTTAATTATTACTGTTTCTTTTTCAGTATGTAATGTTGCATTAATTCTTCATTTGATGTGGGTTTTCTTTGGGTGTATATGTGGGGAGTGGCTGGGTGTGGTCGCGATTCTTCATTGGCTTCATGCTATGATGGTTTCTATTTAAAAATGCCATCACATTACATCAGACTGATGCTGACTTGATGTTTCAAGTGCTTTATTGCACTTGTCAGGACATTAATGTAAAACAGCTGTTGGAACTGTAGAAAAACACAACATATGTGATGTGTTGTGTTCAAGTTAAAAGGTCTAAAATGAGTCATTATGAGGGACTCTCTGTGCTTCTGGGTCTTTCTCTCTTTCTCACTTTGCTTACTTATCTCTGCTGAAAAAAAAAAAAAAATTTAAAAGCCAATTGAAGCTACTTCCTCTTTTAGCCTCGGTTTAGGAAACACCTGCTTCACACGCCCAGAGGTGGTGGGATTGGAAACACAAAGGGACTCATGGCGGTGCACTATGAAGCACCTTATTTAAAAACCACAGAATCACGCATTCAGACACAAAATCCACTCCAAAATGATCCCAGGCAACATAAAATATAGCAAAAATATAAAGGGAGGAAAAGAAACCCAAATTATTTGATGCAGAAGGTCTGATAAGGGGTGACAGGAGCGTGGTCAGTGTACTGTGACTGCGACAGACTGAGAAGATGCATCATATCACATGAGTACAGCCTGTATGTAAATGATGTGAGGTTCCTGTGTGCATGTGCTGTGGGTTTATGTTCAGAAAGGACCAAAGACATCCACAGTGAATACCTTAATCCTCCCTTCATGGGCCAGGTGAGTATGACCATTACTTTTTCTAGAATCTTGCTTTTAATTGCCACTCATGAATATTTACATTTTTAGATGACACTGTGTTTCAGTGCTACTTCTGAAATCAGAGGACCCAAAGTTGTTACTCGTGGTTGATTATAATAACTTTTTAGCTTGGTGTAAGCACTTTAATTCATCTGAAAGAGCACTAAATGGACTATTAGGCACTTTGAATGAAAGAAAATCTCATGAAGTAGCTTCTGAATTCACTTCAGAAGTATTTAATAATAATAATAATGATAATAATGGATTGGATTTATATAGCGCTTTTCAAGGCACCCAAAGCGCTTTACAATGCCACTATTATATGTAAACATGTGACTTCCCGAAGCCACCCAAGTCTCCATAGCCTGTCTTTGGTACTGTTTTCCAACTCAAAATGTACAAAAACTGCTCATTACTAGATCAGCAGATCATGCATTAATGGTTAAGAATAGTATTGCGGCTATTTCTTAGAACTGTTTTTTTTTTCTTGAATGGTTTTCTCTTCTTATCTTTTCCGTTCCACCTTGCTGAAAATGTTGCATCTTCTACGCCCCCACAGTTGAGTTTTTCCATAAATTGAAAGTAAAAAAGCTCAGTGTCAATCAGACCCTTTACCACTTAAGTCCAGAGTGAAATAACAAGACCAGATTCAGATAAACATTTGAGCACATTCACAAATCATGTTTTTCTGTAGCGTTGGTTGAACTTCTAGGACAATTGTGAAATTTCTAAGTAGCTACTCATCATGCCGCCCAGGCGAAAAATCTATATGAGTTTAATGTCCAAATATCTCTACTGCTACATGATAATTTGGCACAAATCTTTAGCTTAAATGGTTGGATCACAGATGAATTAATTCCAGGTTCTGGATGGTCTACCTTGAAGTTTGGAACATATTATATTCATAGTCCCTGTAGAGGTTTCAAAGTTTAGTCATCTACACATTAGACTAACAAGCGAGAGATCCTTGCTTAGATTCCAGGAGGAGACACAAAACCCTTTGATGGTCCGTCAGGATGGGCATCTGGCATAAGAATCTGTGGAGCTACCTGCCATGGTGAGCCCATGTTATTAAGGGAGCAGCCGGAAGCCTTTCTTTTTCTGCCTTCTTCCTCTTTTATATTCATGGTCCCTGTGGGATGAACTATTAGGAGTTTGATGAATGTCTGGTTTTTGATTGAGAGCTATATTTTCAGAGTGTATTATATGACCAAATGCCTGGAATAAAGGAGACAGACTAATGACCCTCATCCCTGCTTTAGAAGGACTTTGTTCTTAGTGCAATTTAACATCAAGTATCTCCCCCACTGTTCTCATGTTAGCCTCCAGATGTTGGACCACGAGTTGGCTAGTTAACTTTCTTTCTTTCCTACTAACAATCATAAACCCACATTCTTTTTAAATGCCGGCAGTCTTTTGGTTTGTTATATTTATCAATGTTTTTGCTGTGAAATCTACGTAGAATTTACAGCATAGTCTAATTCGGATGGCCGTTACCAACATGTATACCTGTATGACCTGTGTTGATGGTGATTCTTAGTTACATTTGTAGGGAGGTGGACGACAGGTTCCAGCGCAGGCTACAGTGCAAGTTACCTACATCTAAAATGCTTAAGTCAAAGGCAGATTGACTTCTTTCAGGTTCTTGAACATATTCATCTCTCTCCTTTATTTTGGCCTTACTAGGGTAAAAAAGGCAAGACTATCTAGTGGTTGACATGTCAGTATCCTATGAGCATTTCTCAGCCAGCTCTAATTCTGAAACTTCTAACTTTAAGATGGTGAGAACCAAAATGCTCAACTTGAGGCTTCACATTCTGATGAGCGGTTTCAAAGTGGTTATATCCAGCTTTTATTTACACACTATGGTTGGATTCATACTAACACCTCTA